GTTGGTGCCTTAGTAGAATTCATTTGCATTTTCCACGAAGAGTCCCACCTTCTTCTGCCCACTGGCCCTGCCTGATGGCTGTGCCCCTCCCCTGTGCCCTGGCCCAGGCAACTGGGGTGAGAAAGCAAGACCCCACCTTCTTTTTCTCCAGGAACACATCCTGGATCCTGAGCTCAGGTTCGATGCTGATTTTCTGGCTGCGTTTGGTAGCATGACTAGGTGGGAGTGGGCTGTAGCATTGGGCACCTGTCAGGGATTTGACACTTATTAGCTGTGTGACTTCTGGCAGGTTACTTCACGTCTCTGATCTCCTGATGGGGTTTTGTGAGGACTGAGTACGTCTACCCACTGTGACAGTGCTTGTCACGGTGTCGGGCGGGCAGTTGATGCCTCATTAATTGCTGTCCTTTCCTCCCTCCTCACCGTGGGCAGCGTGCTTAATCTTGAGGACACAGGGATGAGTCAGTCCCCATACCAGTCTTCAAAGAGTTTACAGAATGGCCTAGGTGGGGGCTGGGGAACTTTCTAGATCAGGAGTCAGGGAACTTGAGTTCTAGCCAGTGCCGGCTCTCTCCTACCTCAGTGAGGGTAGGATAGGTTTCTCTGCTCTTCAGGGCGTCACTTGTAAGTGGGGGCCTGGGCTGGCAGCACTCCAAGGTCCCATCTGTCTCGTCACTTTCTGATTTGTCACGTTCAAGCCAGGACAAGCCTGTGCCTGCGGGGCCAGCGCGTAGCAGGTAGATATAGGGTCCATCAACTCTTCCCTTGAGGCCACTCTTGTCGACGCCGCCAGCCGCTTCCTCTCCGCGGGGCTCTGCAGAGGCATGTTGGCTCTGTCCGCAGTCGGAGTGGTGGGAACAAAGATGGCTTTGGGTTGCCTTCCGCCCATCAGGATCTGAGGGCTGCAGATTTTGCTGAGCAGTGAGTCAGAGGCAGCTCCTTGTTGTGTGCCCCTCGGCAGCGATGGGAAGCTGTGGGAACTGCAGTCATCGTCCTTTCTCGCTGAAAATCACCTTTCTTTAAAAAGGGTCATCTGTGTGGATGGGGCTGCCTGTGTGTCTTGCTGGATGCGCACATGGCTTGAGGTGGGAGGCCTGGGGAATGCCAGCTGAGAAGCGGGGGTGGCAGGATCCAGCCGCATGATCCCCAGTGTCACCCGGCCTCCTGGCAAAGTGGCTGTCTTGGCAAGCAGCCAGAAGGTGAACACCTGGGATGATCCATTCAGCTCACCTTTCTACCTCCCCGTTCAGCTGCCACCGTGTGGGAGGCAGCTCCTTCACCTCGAGTTTAAGATTCTCATCAAAGGAGTTAACATTCCTGTAATTACACAGATAGATTGCACTTAGCAGGCCCATTTAAAGAAGGGCCGTGAAATGGATCCTCTTTTAATAGTGTGACCTTTGCTTGGTAAGCGAGCTCCCAAAGCCAGCCACTGTGAGGGCTCCGAGGGGGCCTCTGTGGTTTCAGGATATCTTTGCCTCATTCATTGATTTGTATCGATCTTTCCAAATTCCAGTGGCACTTATGGAGTTGCTGAGGCCCTCCCACCCTTGAGCAGGCGAGTTCTGACTCCCCAGCATTCATTGATAAACTTTAGCCATTACTGACTCATTCCAAGAAGGGGGTGGAGGGACAGAAGACTGTGAAAGAAAACGGTGCGCAATTCTGCTCTCCTTCAAATTTCACAGGGGTAGGACAAGCCATTCTTTCTTTGGCTCCTGTTCTCACAAGTTCATTGCCCCTGTGCCCATTGGCTATTGACAGCTGCTGCCTCACCCACGCTCTCTGAATGGCAGGACTTGGTGCCTGTCATACCTCCGTCTTCTGGCCCCGCACAGCATTGAATTGGGAGATGACACCTTGGTTTCTTCTTCAAATGCAACCCC